TTTTTTTGGGGGGGGGGGGGACCCTAAATTGAAACAGCAGCTCCTACAAGCAAATGGGGTACTTAATGAGCCACTTTCTATGCCTCACCAAGCTGTCCATGGGTAATTCAATTAGTGCAGCACCACCATTACAGCCATCCCCAGGGCAGGCCCACAGCATATTATTTTAAGATTGGATTCCCTCTCCTCCTGCCACAGCCCACCTAGCACTGTATTGCTGGGGAAGGTATCAGGAGAGGGATAAATGATATTGCTGCTTATCTTTCCAGTGTGAAGTGCAATCATGGGTGCCCAAAGCTTTGCAGAAGGGTGGGGAATAAATCAGACAGGCTCCACAGCTGGCTGTAGCTCAGTGTCCCACAGCATTGCTGCAGTGTTTGGAGGCTCTTATGATATGATGCCATCCTATTTTTCTCTTGCATCCAAGCCTAAGCACATCATATGCAAAGACACGAAGGAGTAACTGCCTCCTCTAACTGCACTTCATCTGCAGATATCAGAGCTTTGCACAAAAGTGGATAAGCATCACCTTTTCTGCTTTACAAGTAGGGAAACTGAGGAACAGAGCTGGTTAGAGCAGGGGATAGCAATTCAGTGACAGCTGAGAACAAACCCCTCTCTCGACACCCAGTTCCAAGGTCTGTTTTTGGACTGTTTCCTGCACCAAAATCATAATGCATCTAGTGCACTGTAGGCCATATCCTATTCCCTACCTCACTTAAATCTACATCCAATGCAGCCACAATACTCTCAGCACAACCTGCTATCAGCACTTCCCGGATGCCCAGGAAGACAGGCTGGTCCCTTCACACAAAGCATACACAGGCACCAGCTTACTGGTACCAGTGGCCTTGAAAAGGAACTCAAGTTTGCCCAGAGCGAGCACTGGGCTGGGGCTATCAGATCCGGGGTTTCTCTCTAGCTCAGCATGGGGGTAACATTGTGTGGCTCCCTATAACAGTGCAGGATGGGGAGAATGACCCATCCTAAGCTCCAGTATAGGTGTTCCACTGTTTATCACAAGGCAACCTGCATAAGAAGCTAAGGCACTGGGCAATTCTGTGTCCAGTTTTGCCCCGCCACTACAGAAAGGATGTGGAAAAACTGGACAGAGTCCAGTGAAGGGCAACAAAAATGGTTGTGGGGCTGGGGGACATGACTTGTGAGGAGAGGCTGGGCTTATTTAATCTGGAGAAGAGAAGACTGAGAGGGGATTCAATAGCAGCCTTCAACTCCCTGCAGGGGGGTTCGAAAGATGGAGCTGGGCTTTTCTCAGTGGGGAGAGATGACAGAACAAGGAGCAATGGGCTCAAGTTGCAGCAAGGGAGATTTAGGTTACTCTCTTACTAGGAGAGTAGTGAAGCACTAGAACAGGTTACCCAGAGAGGTGGCAGAGTCTCCATCCTTGGAGGTTTTTAAGACCCAGCTGGACAAAGCCTTGACTGGGATGATCTAGTTGGGGCCGATCCTGCTTTGAGCAGGGGATTGGACTAGATGACTTCCTGAGGTCCCTGCCAACCTTCATTTTCTCTGATTCTGTGTCTTGAGATCTGGTGTTGAATAACTGCCTCCTCCCCACCTTTAAGCCTGACCCCTAGTAACCCCACAGCCCTTCCCTGAGGATCTGCTTAGCAGAGAACTTGTGTGAAGTGCTTTATTTTAAATGCATTGCATTAGAGAGACCCTCCCTGCTCTATTGGATGAAGTCATCACTCCTGTGTAATGCCCCCTGGGAACAGAAAGCTCACAAATGAATCCCCCCCCTCCTTTTCTCCACTCCTCCCGCTACCTCCCATAGGGCAATTAGGCAAAAGGAGCACGTGCACAAGCTGATACTCAGGAAACACTTGTCAGTAGCCTTCAAATTCTGTTACACTTTCAGCTCCTGGGGCATGATGTTCTCCAGAGAGAGCATTACAGAAAGAAAGCCAAGAAAGCACTCCTCGTTTTGTTCCTGCTGAGGAGCACCACTCTGCATGACTGCCTGGATGGATGTGGAATGATCGATGAACTCACCGCCCTGGCACAACTGCTGCTTCTCTGCTCTCTACATTTCTTGAATCTGTTCCTGCACCTCTGAAGCATCACCTGCAGCCCACAGGGAAGTTCTGGCAGGTACAATGGGGTTTCTAGGTTTGACTCTGAATGGTTCAGCACACCTTGTCAGGGATTCAGAAGAGGGACCCAGACGGCACAAATATTTCCAGCGCGTCTCTCGTGTTGCTTTCAAAGAAAACCAGGAATGGACTCATGCTATGGAAATCAAGCCTGGGTTTCCACTGCTCAGGGCTGCACCTGACTACAAGTCTGGACTTTCAGAAGGAAGCAAAATACGGACGTGCTTCTAAATTCACATTTTGAATCCTGCTGCTGCTGGTAGAGTTTAGGGACTGGAGCTCTGGGCTGGACCCATCGCAGCTAAAAGGCAGCTAATTTGATTTCTCAACCCATAAAGATGATACTAAACAAAGTTTGTCCATGCAAACTTCTCTCACTTGGACTGGGGTGAGGGGCTGAGGTTCACACCTCCAGTAGCTTGATTTCCAAAGTGAGCAACCTGGGCTTTCCCCAACCGCAGGAGGAAACCAGAGGTGGGATGAAACTACCCATTTTAGTACCACACACAAACCTTCTTAAAGGACAAAACACATCTGGATCTTGAAATTTAGTTTGGCCAACTATAAGGAGGGAAAACCAGGATCTAAGGGGTCTAGTTTGGATCCTTCTAGTCACCAGATTGCCCCCCGGTGTGTTACCTGTTGTCCTGCTTTCCATTTGGCAATTCCTGCTAATGCCACAGGACTCAGAGTGGTCTGTAGCTGGGCCTGTAGCTCCACCCCTGGAGAGAATGACTAGCCCTCAAATACCATCTGCCAGCAAGCTGGCAAGTTAAATCCTGCCCAATTTCTCTGCTGCACAGTGAATTAAAAGGAGCCATCAGACTTTCTCACCCTCATTTTGCTACTCAGTTTGGCCGCAGATTATCTCACTTTGAAGGCATTTGCTTAATCTCATCAGAAAAGGGTCTTTAATTCCCTGGCCTCACTGTTGTCTTCCCTTGTGGAAGAGGACCAGAGTGCACCAGAAGAAAAAAGCCTCACTGGCTCATCTGCCTGTACTGAGGGGATAGGATGAGCTGCTATAAGCAATGGCCAGTCTTGTGCAGGGCCTGCTCTCTGCAATGTCAGTGCCAGAAGGGGGTACAAGGGCAGCCAAAATGCAGGCACTGGCCATGATGGCAGGTGCTATGGCTCATGAACAGGAAAAGGCCTTGTGGCCAAGCTCACTTCTCTTCCAGCATCAAGCCCCCACAGAGTGGTGCATGCCCTTTGTCAGGCATGTACAACACAGGCAGGATTCTCCTTGCTGAACTTAAGTCTGGATTTTGACTCGGATACAGGGCCTGTAGACTGATGCTTTTCCCGGCTAACAAGCTGAGGTTCCCCATGCACTGCACCCCATACTCCTGGCACACTGGTATACCTGGGACCCAAGCCCATCGGTCCTCCCTGAAACACCCTGATGGGCAAGAAGCAGCAGTATCTAAGGATTGCCGAGCTCCAAGAGCACAAACAGGAGATCCACCAGCTGCTTCGCCCACCCTGTCCTTTTGAGAAGTTTCCAAGGTTTCTTTTGTGAAAGAAAATGCATTGAGCCAACAAGGTTATGGAGGCAGAAGTGCATGCTGTAGCAGAGCGATCAGTGGAGCAGGAGGAGCGGGGAAAGATGTGCTTCCTCATTCCAGCTGATGCAGAGCAGGGTGAGCCCCAGACTGGTTAATTATTGATTTTCATGACTGAGGACACTCTTCCGCTCAGCAGGAAGAAGCAGACAGACACACTGCTGCCTTTCAGCTGCCTCTGCTGTCACTGGGAGAGCAGAGGCTTGGTGGGCATAGGTGAAAAGAACAGGAGGAGGTGTCCATGGTCCTGAGATCCCTCTGGAGAGGGAAGATCAGGAGAAGCAAGTTGCTCAGCACTATCTCCTTTTGTGGACACACTTCCTGCACCCACCTCTGTAGAAAGAAGTTTACTCCGCTTTGTAGGCAAGACCTTCATTATCAGGGCAAAACACATCCACTGTGGTCCTACAATTCTCATGCTCATGGTAGTGCTAGATAGAGCAGGCCTGGTGAGACCCGGGAAAAGCATGGGTATGTACCACACAAACCTTGCCCACACTTCTATACCCTGTACTGAAGTCCTGACTAGCCACATCATTCATCATTGCAGTCCTAAGTTCTTCTCAGGGCACCGCAGCCCTCAGCTAGGAAAGCTTCCAGGCCCATAACTCTCCCAATCCACCTCATTCCTGAATCACAGCACTCCTCGCTTTGGTCAGGCACAGTTAGACTTTTAAAGCTATTATAGATGTAGATAGATGCCTAATGTACATAGATTCAATTCAGTCCTGCTCAGGGTTCCCCTGCTATTTCAGAATGACTCAAAAGTTGGAATAGGGATAAACCCACATGGATGTTTTATTTAGTGAATGAAAGTCCACTAGGGATTAGGATGAAACTACTGAATTCAACTGCAATTGTCTTTGGAAATGAAGTGTCCAGAAGTGACGAGCTGGTGCACTGATGGGCAGGGCCATGATCAACTCCAATTGCCAGCATCTTTCCAAAAGCAGGAGACAGATGTGACTGTATGCAACTATTTCTACAGTTCATGACAGGAAGCAAGCAAGCTCTTTAAGACATCACAGTACAGCATATGTGTACTTACCTGCAGGAGAGTCTGGAGGCGGCACATCCATAATTGGTGATGAAGAGAGAAAAGAAGAGAAAAAACACATTACTTAACAGTTCTGCCCAGTTCACATTTGACATGATTCAGGAGTAAAAGGATTTAAGGACCATATCTTCCCCAAAACCGTGTCTCATGAAGGCCTCAGACAGATCTATTTGATTTTGGAAATTTGATTTTGGACCTGACCAGGAATATGTGAATGCAAATCCAGAAGGTAGGACTGAAGCTGCTTTTGGAGCTCAGTATTGAAGCTCCAGCAGTAGTATGAAGCAACATCTTTCGATTTGGTTTTCCCTAGCATTGCAGAGCAATGAACTAGCTGCAAAGGCAGGAGCTATTATATACTCTGCAAAAAGCCACAGGAAAACCTGTGCTACAAGAAAATGGAGGCCAAGGCAGACTGGTTTATCCCTTCTTGTGGGACCCTTTGTCCCTACATCTGGTTGAGAATGAGTTATCCAAAATCCTGGTGTAAAGCTGGAAACAATAGCTGGCAGGCCAAGAATCAAGAGTTCTTCCAGCTGGAACAGCCTGGGCTGTATCAAAGCCAATGGGGACTAAACATGACATGATTGCCTACAACCCTGATAAGGTTACATGCAACAGCTGGGGACTGAATCTGACAACTTAAAGGTGCTTTCCAGCCCTGTGTCCCACGTTCCTCTGACTGCAGATGAGTTTCTCTGGATTTACTTTGATATAAATTGGAATGGAAGATGGCACAGTGGGATTCCAACTGCCCTGGGGTACGTGTGCCATATGCACTGATTTCCATGGGGCCGTTCAGACATCCACAAAACCAAGCAGACTTTGGCACGGTATCACTTCAAAATGCCTGGTTCATGTGAAGTCTTTCCAGTTCAGCCTGCTCTGGGACTACAGGAAGCACAGTCTGACATTCAGCACAGAGCCCAGACGTTGCTCGGGCAGCAAAAGACAGAAATCCATCTTCACACATCCCTCAAGAGGCCCCTCTGCAGAAGATACGTCCTGCACTCTCCCTTCCCTGCCTGTCAAAGGCCTTGTACAACCCTCTTCCTCCCGCACGTGGAGAAAATCAATATCAAGTTTTGTCTCAATTTTAGCTGGGCATCTTCATTCACACACCTTTGGGAAGTGCAAAGGAAGCAATCTGCATGGGCCCCAGGGAGTGAGAGAGAAGCAGACCCTGCTGGCTTCCCACAACTCTGCAATCTCCTGGCTATACCTCTTCCAAGGGAAACAGCTGATTTGTGTTAGAAACTGTCCCTCGAATGTCGCTCCAAGGATCTCCTCCACCCCCTTCCTCCTTGGAGACATCATGACCTGGATGGGCCCAACCTCCATGTTCTCCCTGTTAAATATTATTCCCTGTTCTGCTAGCTACTTTTGATCCAGGTAACACACAGGGTGAAATTACCTCTGAAGCCATGCCACTCAGGGCTCTGGCCATGTCACAGGGATAATCCTAGTTGTCCCTCAGAAAGGAGACTTCCAAGGAAAATGGAAAGAATGAACTTGTTAAGTCCCAGGAGGGAATTCTTCCCTCTTAATCAACAGCAAACCACCACTCCAGCAGGAATCTCAGGGGAACCATGCGTATACTGTTGGAAATGGGTTGTTTTTCCTTTGGCTTCCTATGGGACAAATGTACATCTGTGCAGACACTGGAAGCTGCTGGAAAGGGGTGTCTTTCAGATCAGATGGACCTCTGAGGTCCTGGCCAGTCAAGGAAGGACCTTGCCATAAGAAGGATACTTCCCCCAGGTGTCCAGCCACATTTGAATTCAGACCTCCCCATCACTGACTCAGTGCATGACCCTGCACTAGTCACTTAGACTTCTGCATCTCTAGGGTCACAACATTTTGACTGGCAGCTCACAGAGACTTTCTCAGCTTTAGCAATCCATGTCTGGGAAGGACTCTGAAATCTGCAGATGGGAGGTGCTGGGAAAAGGTAGAGAGTAAAGGTAGAGAGTGAACTTTTGAAAAAGGCAGGAAGTTTTTACAGCAAATGCCAGTTTCTGATGGATCCTCTGCTGAAGGGGTTCACTTCAAACACAACGTCCATCCACCCGCTGCCATGTGTACCCCTCTTTCTCCCTCTCCCCACCCCTCATGCAATCGTATTGTGAAAGTCAGCTTGGTGCCTCAAATCCCTGCATCTGTCTGGAAGACATGGCTTAAATAGCTGTGCTCTGCCCCATTGGGCAGGGTGTAGAGAAATCTGATTAGCAGGCAAGAAACCTCCCTGGAAGCTGGGAATCCCTCCTAAGGAAGGGAAGTGAGATGTGGCAGTAAAGCCTGCCTCCCCTTCTCACAACCCATTAAGCTAACTGTGATCTCCATGTGAATGAAGAAAGGGCCCTGAAGTCGACTCAGCCCTCAGGGAACAAATGGCTCCATGCATGCATTTGTCAGCTAGCTGATTTAAAAGGGGGCGCTGACCATCTGGTGGAGCTGGGCAGTGAGGCAAGCTGCCGCGGCGGCTGCCTCATGGAGAAAGGCGGCGGGAAAGGCGGCAGGGGGGAAGAAGGAAGCCGGCTGGACAGATGTGTGAGCAGAGAGAGAAGCGTCAGGAGGGCTGGGCCGCCACTGCATCAGCTGCAGATTGCAGGCCTCACCAGACACTCCTCCCAATTCACTCTGACTCTCCCAAGGACAGGCAGAGAAGGGCAAGGGAGACAATGTGTAGGACAAGAGCAGGAGGGGGAGAGACTCCAGCTGCAATTGCTCTCCAAGCCCAAAGGCAGTTTCATGGCACAGTCTTGGCCTGCTTGTTGAGACTGTTTTAATGCAGGAATGAATGGTGATAACATACACTGGGAACAGCCCCATGCACTCAGAGACCTCAGTGCGTCTCCCAGACATTGGCACCAGGGAAGGGAAGAAGCATCCCAGGGCAGGGGAAACTGAGGCAGGTAGAAGGTTAAAACGGGTCAGTCACAGAGCTGGGAAAAGAGTCCTGATTTCTTTCTGCTTGAAATCCCACATCATGCTCCCAGTCTGCAAACTAGGATAGTCTTCACTGTGAACATCCCATATTCATTTGCTACGACCTACCGCCCCTCCGCTCACTGCACCCCCATTTCAAACTGAGCTTTGCAACATGGCTGCAGCAGGGTCTAATGCCCAATCATGTGGTGCTGAACCATGCTGACATATCTCAGCACCTGCAGGGGCATTACCATCACACCGCTAACCCCTCTTGCAGCAGCTGCTGCCCTCTCTGCACTCCCAGGCTGGTTAGGACTGCCTCAGCCAGGCCTCCCGAGGTGCTGCGACCTCTCAGTTCTCCCTGTCTGATAGGAAGCTGTGTCCTCTCCTGGGTCCCCTCATGCCAGCTTGCAGCCCAGGACTCACCCTCTGCTGTATCAGTGCATGCTTGTGCTCCATCTCCCTCTTCTCCACAGCAGAGTCAATCACCAGCTGGTCCAGCTGAAGGAAAGGAGGAGAAAACCAGATGGGAAATTCAGCTGATTGTTCCCACTAGGGCGCCAGCGGCCATCGCTGCTGCTTCTCCTCCCTTGGGAAGACGCCCGCCCACCCAATCACCTTAGTCGCTGGAAGCAATGGAGCGAAGTGAAGCTGCATTCAGGTGGGCACTGAGGGCTGGCGCAGCACTTAGCTCACCACCTTGGCTCATCCGACAGCAAGGGATTCAGTGTAACGCTCTGTCATCTCCCTGATTAATGGGAGCTCCTTAATCTAAAGCTCTGAGAATTGATGCTGAGGCACAGAGCTGGGAGCAAACATTACCGATCACTTCTGTACCAGCCCACAGCCTTCTCAACCCCTGCAGTCCTGTCCCAGCATCAACTGAGTTCAGAATAGGATTGGAGATGGGCCCTCTGGGGGAAATATCCTTTCTCCAGTCAGGACTCAGGGATGTCTCCAATCCCAGATACTATCTTGAGGTAGGAAAGATGTAATGCAAAAAAACCCCAGGGTGAAGTATGCTTTTATGTCTGGGAGGTCTGCCCAGCCCCAGATGGACTGTGGACCTGACGGTCCAGTTCAGTGAGCAGGACATACCCAGTCTGATTTAATTAAGGTTGACCTCTTGGCAGAAGGATCCCTGTGGTGGCCATATAGCTGGCAAACACAGGCTCCTGAGCATTGCTCTCCTGCAGCTACCTGGCACCTGGGTTTAAAGGAGGAGGTCTTTCATGCCAAAGGGTTTCTAAGCTGACAATAGGGACATATGAAAGATCACTGCCCCCGCAACCTCCTCACCTCAGTGGCTAGTTTCTTCATGTAAGGATCAAGTTCATGAAGAAGGCTGTATCCCTGCTGGAAAAAAGTGTACTGGGCTTGCATGAAAGACAGCATCTGAGGGTAGGAAACAAAGCACAGAGTCAGACGTGAAGTAGAGAGATGAGCTCTCAGCAGATCCCAGCTCCTGAGGTGCAGACCACCTTTTCACACCACTGCAGTGACAGCCTCAGCTTTGGTCTAAAGCATCAGCCTGCGTTGAGACAGCTCTCTTGGAAGGAGCTATCTTTGGAAGACCGAGTTCCTCCCTCCCTCCCCCAGGTCCAAATGAATCCCAATAGTCACGCTGAGGACTTCCAAGGGGTTACACCCTAGACAAATTCCATTTTCAGCAGGGTCCCTTCCAAAGGAGATACTTTCTCGAGAAATAGTATGTTTTTGTGATTCATAAGCCAGGGGGAGCAGAACCCAGAACCCAGCTGCTACCCCGGTACTGCCCCAGACTCCCTGCAAGTCATGTGCTCTCTCAACACTTGTGTAAAACAGAGATAATAATACACCTTCCCTAACAGGAATACTGTGCAGGGAAGGGAACTGTCTGCAGGGTGCTACAGCACCATGGCAATGACAGCTATATAAGCACTTATGGAAAATATACCATGTCAATTTTGCTCTTAAACATCTCTTTCCAAGGCTTAGCTATATAGCCTCTCTCTCTAGACCTCATCTCATCCCTTCCTGCCTTCCTGCACTCCCTTCTTGTCCTGTCTTCATATCACAGAGCTTGCTAAGCTTACAGGCATGCCCCACTGTGAGCCCACAGAGATAATAGCATCGGTGTCACTCATCCCTGACAGCCCTCACCCTTCCAGTATACTGAGTGTCTTTTGTTTTTTCATGATCTGCTATTGTAACAACACCCTGCAGCCCACATCAGCTGTCCTGCCGGTGTCAAAGAAACTACATTATCTCCATGCTACGGGTGCCGCAGATGTGTGTTTGCCTATGCAGGATGCAACACCGAGGCCTGCATATCATGAAGTCAGCAGCGTCAGTATGGTCAACTTAATAGAGCTCTTACCGCATCCAGTATTTCAAATTTCTTCTTAGCTTGTAGCACATTGATCTGTAAGGTAACAGAGACAAGGATGTCAGCAATCCGCATCAGCCCAGGAGCTAGATACTGCCAGCACTACCCCTTGCAATGCAATCCAAGTAGAACCCATGTTTCAAAATGATGATGGTGATGATGATCATTTAAAGGACTTGGCTAAACTGCTCAGACTCTGTCTTCTAAGTGACTTAGGGTCATCTGAAGATGCTGCCCAGCATGTAAGCACAGGTGGTCAAAACTGCTGAGTATTGCTCAATATCAAGTAGATGGGAAGCCATGGGATGGTTAATGTTTGGGCTCCAGTTCGGTAGCACATCACTCCCCATTAGCCATTGCTAAGCCAGCCAAGGAATCAGCTTGCGCAGTGCCTGCCCAGGGACCCTGCTCCTAAAATTTATTAATACCATATTGTGGTTTACAAAGGAAACTGTTTCAGTAACATCAGTGTCAGTCTGAGAGCCCTGGAGACTCCTCAGAGCAGAGGCTGCTGCCATTCAGGCTCCCCCATCAAGGCCCTCAATGTAGTTAGGTCACAGAACCGAAAAACAGTCCTTATGTCCTTTTTGGTTCTGCCTTCCCTGTGTTTTCACAGCCAGAGAAGCACTACAGCACCACCGTGTGATAACATGAGCGTATTGCTCCTGAGATGTGCTGTACAGCTGCAAAGTCTGCCTGCAAAATACACTGCGCTGGCACTAGAGCTTTGCCATCCTTGTGCTCCATTGACAGGTGCCCAGCAAGGGGATTCAAGAGCAGGCGGTAACATCTCTCAGCCTGGAGAATGAAACCTTGATCAGGAAAATCCCAGCTTTAATCCCTATTACAAACGATGGGTAAACATGCAGCAGGTTAAAGCCTTCTTAGCTTTGTGGACCTGCCTTACATTACAAATGAAAGATGCTTAGTAGCTCTTCAGCTGACTCCACATGGAACCTGATCACAAAATTACTCCTTATTTTAGAAAGACAGATGGTCTCTCCCCATAGAAGGCACAAGGACTGGGATGGTAGAGGACACAAAATATACAGGAAGAGGTATAAAGCCAAGCTAGCATTCAGCTGCACTATGCAATGATCTCTCTAGGGAGCACTAGTGGTTCACGAGATACCAGTTATCAAAATCACGTGTGCAGGACTGCTGCAAAGCTCTCTGGTCAGTGGATGAGTTTAAATTGGTCAGTGGATGAGTTTAAATGCCACGAGAAGCAGTAAACTCTTCCGACTGCTAGTCCTGGATCAAAGCTCAGGCGATGAACAATGCCTCTGCAACTGAAAATAAAAATAAATCAGGGAGCAGAGTGTAAGAGGCTGCCAAGTGACTTGGGACAGCATCATTTTAAAAATAAAAAATGAATTGCATGCAGTTATATAATGCCTTCTCCTTGGATCCCATGGGCAAGTCTGGGAAGTCTTACAAGTGCTGTAATTAGCACTAAAGAGACTCTCAAATGTAGCAGAAGGTTTCTATGGGGTTTCAGCTGTCAGTGTCATGAACAATATGTTACCATGACAGCTGCAAAATAGGTCCCAGAGTGTTAATAACTCATTTATAAATATGGCACCAGTTAGCATAGACAGCACTGTACTGGAGTAACTAAGACTAGTGCCAGGCAGAGGGTACTGGTAATACTTTTGCTGGGTTTGGAGCAGAGGAACTGTTCCCTCCTACAGCCAGATTCAGTGTAGTGTGGACCTGCCTGCTCCTTCTGGATCTGGTTTATCTGTAGTCAAGGTATGAGGTACATTAGCAAACAGGCAATGGGCTGGATTATGCATGATGTCCTAGCTCCTTTATGCCACCTGAGCAAGGCTCTTCTCTTTTTCCCTGTGTATTGGAAAATGGGGTTACAGTGGGTTTCCTGGGAGTCATCTTCCATTGCTGCACCAATGGTGGTATATCTGAGTTATGGCCAGGATGTTTAGAGTGCCTGAATACAAGCCACCTTCTAGCATCTAAATACCAATCAATAAAATGATAAACCTTTTCCATTTCATTCCTGTGATCCTGAACAGATGCAAAGGGAACCCTGTGCCACTTCACTTACCTGTTCCTATTTTGGGTCTAAATTGCTACATCCCTGTGGAACTGACCCAGAAATCTCACTGATCCACAGTAGTGGAGCTCTCCCCCTTCATCAGCATTAGAAAGAGGAATATGACACAGGAAATTCTTCCTTGTGACCTTGCTAGTGAACACAGCTGCATTTATCTCTAAATCCTAGAAGCTGAAAGAACTACAATCCCCCAAGGTTAGCAAAGCATGCATAATTTACAGTTAAAGGGATAGAGTCCCTTTTCTATGTGCCACTGATTCACAGCATAAGAGGATGTGACATCATACATAGACTATCTCATGATCAGGCAGAAGGTGCTGGCAGATGGTCTCAATTTTGTATTGCAGAGAGTAAGAGCTAGTGGAGTGGCACATGGATCAATATTCACACTGAATGTGTGCACTTCATTGCCTGGAAGAAGGGTCCCAAAGTTGGGTGCAAATGATGCAAAAAACCCTTGGCTACCAGAGGGGCTAATTGTTGGGACAATAACTATGCACTCCCAGGGGAGATTTTAATGCTAAAAAGAGCATAATTCAAAGGATTTGGTTTAATTTTTCTTTATAGGAAATAATGGTGACATTTACTATTTTAGCTAGACTGTCGTGTTTAGCAATAGGTGTGGCATGAGCACACACACACTCATGCATATGCATATTTAAACACACATGTGCTTGCACACATATATGTCTGCACACATATGCATATCTATCTGCAAGAATATCTATATACATTTGCACAGAGGTTTTCCTTAAGGAAACAATACAAACAGGGCTGCACTATAACATGCCGTCAAAATGTGGAGGCAGAAAGCACTCACGAGTTGTCCCTCTTCTTCTTGTTTTGGAGAATTACACAGCCCTGTTTTGCAAGCCCCCCCCGGAGATACCTCCTGTGGCAGAGACCCTGAGAGGAACCTGCCGGCTCTCGTGTCTTCTCTGTATGGGAGATTTGCAACATTTCCAGTCAATCAGTGGCTCATTACAGCTACCTGACAAGGAAGTCTGCCCCAGCAAAGCTTACCCCAGTTTCCAGCCAGGATAAAGTATATGATGTGGTCAGACCAAGGTATACAATTTAAAGGATGCAGGGAGCAGAGATGGGATCTAGTGCAAATTGTGACTTTCTGCTTGGAATTTGAAGTAGTCCAGTGACACTAGGGTCCAAAAGTGGGGCAAAACAACTGACACTGGGTCCCAGGTCTGTTTACCTGGTCTCACTGCCATCTGACGCCCAGGGTTTAATGCTGGACAACTTCAAGATCAGGTGCTATTTCAGACCCAGACATTGCACTATCCTCTCTTGCATCCCACCAAAGATGTTTCCCTACTCTCAGCTCCTGAATGCCCAGCATTTATCCCCTGGTCCTACGGTCAGGAGGAGCGTAGGGTCAGGCAGCTCAATCTCACCTGTAATACATAGTCTAAGGCCAGGTGTCGAAAGCACTTCCTGGTGATGGTCAGGGTGCCCGTTGCTTCCTCCACTTCATGGGGCTTGTGCCGTGGCGCCTGCGCATTCTTCACCAGAGAGATCTCCATGTCCTCTCGCACCTTGTCAAACTGCTTCTTCGTTTCCTTGAACTTCCGAACGTCACTGAAACACAGGAAGGAAGAGAATGATGGGAACTAGCACTGCATTACAACCAGGGCAATTATGGAAGCAACATTAGGACAAAACCAGGTCAGGTATTTCTGGGAGAACCACATCCTGACTTCATTTGCACCATACTCGGTGCACCCAGAACACCATTATTCTGTATTATACCCAGAGCAAGCAAGAGGAGATTCTGCCCCGAGCATAATTCTTTGATGTGGCTGCCAACCAATGGCATTGCACCTTAAACTGGGTGTAGAGAGTAGAGATGGGATCAAGTACAAATTGCAGCTCTCGAAACACTGAGGAACATCACCAAAGTCAACACCACAGAAGCTATCCAAGCAGCATCCGACCTTAATGACGTTCTCTGACAGCCCTCAGGACAAGAAGCAGGATGTTTTACAACCTGCTTCATAGGAAACAAAGGCCATTTCAAAGATGGTCCTGTATTTGAGCCCAGGAAAACAGCATGAAGCCAGCTGTGTGTGATCATTATGAATCAATGCTTAGCACACGCATATTGGCCATTATTGTATGTCCTCTGATGTGCTGGAGAGTGGGTGGGTCTGTTCTGAGTATTAAAAAGTAAAAGTTTGATTCTTCAGATTCTTCTGCCCCCTACAATGTTCTCAATATCCATGTTGAGAGAGAGGCAATCTACCCTGAGAGCTTTATGAATTAATATTAGTGCTTACAGACCACAATCAAGATCAGAGCCCCTCTGTGCTAAGGGCTATACACACATGTGCCAGAGAGTCCTCTAGATATCTTCAAATTGAAATCTACTCAACTGAAAAAAAAGGTCATAAATGGTCACAGAGCTTTAGGGCCCTACAGCATTCCTGCCAGCATTTGCCGTTGTATCAGCTTGTCCTGATTTTTTTTTTAAATATGTATCTTCCCCATAGGTTTAAGCAAGACCCACAAATAACAGAGGACAAACTAAACCTTAGTATCCAGCCAACAATGAATGAGCTAAGTCACCTTCACTAATGTGACTCAAGATAATACATCTCAGAGGTGTATTATCTTGTGTTGCATTTAAGTCAACTCTGCTCCACATGCTTGTGTATGCTCTGACAGTTATGTTGACTTTAAAAAGTTACACCAGCTTAATGGTCAGAAAGTTAGTACATGTGTACACACCCCGAATGACTACAAAGAAATAGATTTAGGGTTCCCTTCCTAAGCTGGATGGGAGATTGACTTGGAGCTTCATGGCCACAAAGTAAATTAAGAGAATTTAAACTCCAAACTCAAGTTCCATGGAAGTCAGAGGTGACATGCTGATTGATGCTATCTTGCATCACTGACCCAAATCACTTGGTTCACTATTGCCCTGTACCTTGTGGCAGAATTTACATCTGTGCAAACAAGATGCAAAATGGATGCTAGCATTTAAGGAGGTTGGATTTTACCCTGTGCTGATGTAAATACTGATATTAAGCAATGCAAAATCAAGTCCAAAGAGCAGAAGTCAGCCCTATTGTCAGTGCCTGTGTGTAGGTATAGTTGTGCTACATGAAGACAGAAGACAGCAGGCTTAGTGAGGGGTCAAGTGCATGTTTAGCAGTGATTTTAAGGAGCTGAGAGGATTAGATCTCTTAAGGGTTAACCTGTCTGCAGCCAGGAATTTCATAACACTGTGGTTGCAACCCTTGGCACCTGTATCTTTACCCTTTCACTGGGCTTAGCTGGCTTTTGCTTCTTTTCACTAGCCCCTGCATTGCTCTCATTAATACCAGGGAAAGTCACATGAGTAAATCATTGATGCATTGTGCTGAAAGTGGATTGTTTCATGCACGAGACAAGGGGAGAAAATGCTCCTGTCTAGCATGCAAATGACTGTGGTGCATTTATACATGGTGTGTGCATATATTTATGTAGGCTGTCTGTACTGAGATATACATTATGCTTTGTTCCAGTGGCCGAGCCTGGGAGTTTCTGTGCATGTTTCTCCCCATCAAGATTAAAAGTGGGGAATGAAAGGATGGGGCACCCCCTAACATAGCTAAATACAGTGGGCTGGTACCAAAGCAAGGGAGCTCCTGAAATGCTGTAGGGTTGAGGGTCAAGCCTGCATGACATTGGTGAGCAATTCGTGTCCAGCCAGGCTCAAATAAGCTCATCGGTGCCCTTCACACTGGAACTGCTCAAAACACACGTGTGCCCACACACAGCCTGCTATTCCCCTTGATCTCTCTCTTCCTCTACATGTGCATATACATCTGTTGACTTTCAAGTACCACAAGTGTCTCCTTCTGAAAGCAAACCCTCCTTGATTTTAAATGCGTGCCCCCAATCAGAAGATGGATTCTCATTACCACAACTGCCAGGCTCTTGCTCCTGGGCTTGGCATGGCCAAGTGGTATGGGGATCTCACCCATCCAGCAGCTGGGGCCCAGCCTTCTCCTTAGCTATTAATCTGGCTGTCATCCAACTCCCTCCTGAATAGTAATGCTAAAAATTAACTGAGTGGCTTTGAGCCACATCCCCTGCCCCCACCGCATGAATCGTAGCAAAGAAGAAAACAAGGAGAAAGCAGATGGTGTCTCTCCACACAGCTGCACAGGGCTTGTTGGGTACTCATCCACAGTTCAATTAACATGCGGCAGCCAAACACAGGGTTTCAGTTGGCCTGGTAGAAGGTGGCAGAGTGACTCACTTGGTTCAAGAGAGCCAAGCCGGAGTCAGCGTCTGGGCAGTAGGCCCGGGACTGCAAGAGGGGAAGCTTTTCCAGTATTTCTGGGGGCTCTTGGGGCTGGGAGGGCAGGAAATCAGGAGGGTTTCCTAGTTTGCAGCCAGAGGTAAGCTAATGGATGCCTGTACACATTAAATCAGGACAGGAGTCCCTGGAGGAGAATGGTGGGCTGATCTTTGGGACTGGAGACCTTGCATCAATCTAGGAGGTTCCCCATTATTCACCTCCAAGAAATTCCTGATTCTCCTGCCAAACCCATCTCACAACAACATTTCTAGCCAACTCAGGTGTCTTTCAATCCGTGACTGCTTAGCAGCATGCTCCTTCCCCTGCTTCCATCCAAGCTTCAGTCATCCCACCCACATGCCTGCATCCACCCAGGTTCCTGTGGGAGGCTATGGAGGATGATGGGAGGGGTGGATCTCTGGACCGCAGAGCCTGAAAGTGAGGTCACGAGTGGTGAGGGGAAGCAGAGGGTGTTTCCATCTCCTACTGCTCCCTTGCACTTCTGGCAAACAACTTAGAAAGGACCGTGTGTTGGAGAGCATGGGGAGGGGTAATGAAAGCCTGTCCTATTCAGGTAGCTTTCCAGTCTAGCCAGGCTGAGTGATGACCGGGATGAGTTGTCGCTCTCTGATGACAGGTCAATGGCTGGTGCAAAAGGAGCTTGGCAGGTCACTGCTCCCTAACACAAAAAACACTGACAGGATTGTCAGCTCAGTCCTTGGACCAATGCTATTCAATGTCTTCATCAGTGACTTGGACGAAGGCGTGGAGAGCACCCTGTCCAAGTTTGCAGATGACACCAAATTATGGGGCAAATTTAACACACCAGAGGGTAGGGAACAGATCCAGGCAGAGCTGGACAGGTTAGAAAAATGGGCAGAACGAAATAGGATGTAGTTCAACAAAGACAAGTGCAAAGTGCTGTACCTGGGCCAAACGGACCACCAACACACTTACCAGCTGGGGGTGATCTCCTCAGCAGCACAGCAGCGGAAAGGGATCTTGGAGTCATAGCTGACACCAAGAGGAACATGAGTCGTCAATGCAACCAAGTGATCAACAAGGCTAACCGCACTTCATCATGCATTTGCAAATGCATGATGAACAGGTCCAGAGAGGTGATACTCCCCCTCTATGTGGCACTGGTCAGGCCATGGTTGGAGTGCTGTGTCCAGTTCTGGGCAGCGCACTTCAAGAGGGACGTGGACAACATGGAGAGGGTTCAGAGGAGGACACTCATATGGTCAGAGGCCTGCAAGCAAGGCCCTATGAGGAGAGACTGAGGGACCTGGATCTCTTCAGCCTTTGCAAGAGAAGGCTGAGAGGTAATCTTGTGGCTGCCTATAAAT